ACAGTATATTGCAACTGGTTTTAATACAATGAAAGTTGATTGAAGCAAAAAAAAGTTGACCACTCCTGTCCTACAGTATTGGTAGAATAGCATATTAAGCTATAATCATAAAACTACATAAAACTAAAGGAAATAAATTTATGGTATTATTTACTAAATAAAGAATTGATAAATACAATATTACAATGATAACTCCAATGTTTACATACTTAAAGTTTTTGATGTTCTAAAAATATCTTATTCAGGAGTAACGGTTATAGTGCAGTAGTTCTCAACTAATGATACATCAACTGGTAAAGAAAATATTTAATAAATCTGTAATCAGTGCCATATTTAAAAAATAGCAAAGATAATTATTAAATAATACTGCAAGAAAAGAAATAACTAATATTTTCAAAAATTTATCTTAAACTAATTCTAATTCATCAGTTATAAATAGCACATATTTGCCTTAGTTTAATTTGATAACAATAAGCAGCAGGTTGATCACAATAATTGACAAAATTTTACACAAATGTAGAACTGGTTTAGGAAAACATATTTTGATTACATTAAGCAGCTTACAACATTAACCAGTAATTACAATAAATGGCAGCCACTATATTTGTATTTATTTTGAAGGTTAACATTTTCATGTTCTGTTTATAATAGTTCTATAACCTGAAGATGGTCTGTCAAACAGACTGAAGATGTTTGATTTTGAATTAAACATCATTGTTCATGATATGGTTATTTTTTTAGCAGTTCAAAAAACTGATGATGCATTTCGTTTATTTCATTTCATCAATATTTGATGATGAAAATAAACCAAAAGTTTGATGTTTCTATATCTAACAAAAATATGTTTCTGGATTCTGAGGGATTTAAAGATGGAGTTGTTATATATAAAAAAATCATTTATGTAACTGTCTACTAGGTTTATTTATTTAATATCATACTGCTACAAATTTTTGAAACCATATTTAATCATGCATTTTCAGTGTAGTTATTAAATTCCTTTATTTACATTCCTTTTTCCATAATATATATTTCAGACATTTCATTTATAGAAAAAGCTATCTATATTTCTTTATTTCAGAAAAATTTTGTTAAAATAATAACAAAATTTTTTATTCCATCAATGATGACATAGATGATGGAATAAATAAAGCATACTTTTTTAATATTATATACTGTATTGTAATACTATATCTTATATTATTAAAATTACTTGCAACCTATTTTATAAAAACAAAATAAATATACAAATTAATTTTCTTTGACAGATAAGTAAAAATGACTGGAATTGTAATGAAATCTGGACTCATTTTATATTACAATATTTGTCAAAGCCAAAGGTAAGAATTTTTTGGAGTAAATTTTTTGTATGAAAGATGTATTGATATTAATTCAATATTACATTTATCTAAAATTTTTCATAAATTTCATAGGAATTGACCACACAGAACAAACACAATAAAATAGAAGCTAACAAATGAATACAGGAATAAATTAAACTCAATTCTTAACAACTTAGCTGAATGCAAACACATTTAAAGCTATAAACACATATATTGTTTCAATATTCATATACCTATTTGAGTTACACATTGTGCACATACAGGAACAACTCCAAAGGAAAATAGGGAACACAATAACAAAACATAACAAATGTCACTGTAAGTTCTCCATTAAAAGTTTATCCTTCCTCATAAAGAGAAAAGATGAGCCTCACAATAAATCTTCATTAAAAATACAAACACTACAAAAGTATTTCTACAATAAAAAGAAATCACAATTACATAGTTGTAACTCTTGTAGACAAAATATATGATTAAAGCAACACAATAATGATCTAAATGATCTAAAAAACACAGATATCATAAAGCATGTTTGAGTCTGGAAAAAGTTTCAATGATAGGTATTCAAATGAATGAACTGATGTTGACAAAACTGTTGGCTATTTGGGGATGTCTTTTTGGAAAGATGGAAGGATCTTTAATTGCTGTACAATCATGATCACCAAGTTATAAATACAAAAACTTTAGAGAGCACATCTTAAGACACAATACTTACAGACAACACCTACAGGAAATGCCACATAATGCATGAAACAACATATTACATCAAATTGCAATTTTACCACAAATAAACTACTTACATTGATATAATTAAATATTTCACATAAAGCTTGCACAAACACAAATTATTACAGATTATGCTACCATTGCTAACAGACATTGACAAATGCTCACCATACATAGTCTCAGAAAACAATACATAAAAATACACTATGACAGATCCATAATTACTGATAAGACAGTTCATTACAGCATACAAACACTACATTTATTGACAAAAAACAAAATCACATTTATCATATACATAGCTGTTCCAATCTTACCCACAACATAAACAATGCATACACTGAGTAAGGTATTTATCATGCCTATGGTGTTTTTTGCACAGACATCATATCACATACACTGCATAGAACTTGAGAAAACTTAGGCCTTAACAATAGCACATCACATTATAGAAAGCAGTCATACTAAATACATACCACGTAGGAAAGTTTAAAATATAAATACAAACACAACCAGTATATATTCACAGTAACAGTGTTTCTCTGTAGATATGGCTTGATCTTGGCCCACCAGTGGCCGAGTGGTCTCTGTTGCCGCTCATAGCGGAGGTGACTGGACCCTAAACACTGGGAAGTTCGGTCGTGGGTTCGTGCCGCGATCGGACAGGCTGGCTGCTTGGAGTTTTCCGGGTTTTCTCCTTGCCAATAACGACTAAATAGGAAGCCAGTTCCCCATAAAAGTCCTCCCAGAAGGCATTCTTTCCCCGCGCTCGCGTGATACATCATTCAAGGAAGAAGGCAATGGCAAACCACTTCCTCAACTCTTGCCAAGAAAACTACATGGAAAAGGACAGACTTGTCCATGCAGTCACCAGGAGTCGACGACGACTTGATGGAACTTAACAACAACATGGCTTGATCTTGGTCCAGTGTAGCACTAAGCACTAGTGTTAATCAAATAGGGTACAGCCCACCAAAATCCCAGTAATATTATAATTAAAGTTTGAATTGGCACACAGAAAGTGAACTAAAGGCATAGCATGATATATATGCCTTTGATAGTTTTAGGAAAAATTGCAATGATTGATGAATATCTGCAGCACATAAAAGTTTTATCACATTTTCTAAAGACAGTCTTTGTGTCTTTAGACAAAGAAAAAATCTATTTGACAAGTTTGTAATTGTGAATTAAAATTTAAAGATAACTTGTATCCAGTTTTAAATCAACTTAAATACAGATAACCTGTGTGTTATTTGCATGAAATTATTCTACTATAATTTTGATTTGATTGCATATTTTAATACTAGTATGTAGTTTTTTTTTAGACAAAAGGTTAAAATAATTCTTTATTTGAAAAAACAGTATTTAATAGATGGCTAAACAGATTAGATTTCTTTAATTGATTTTTATTAAGATAAATGAATAATTTTTAAATGTATTGTCATAAAATATATAAAATAGTCAATAGTAGTATTTCCCAAACTATGGATTGTAAGTTGATTTTTGGTAGGTCTTTAATACAGATGTCATCTTAAATATCATTTCATGTTAGTGGTTTACAGATTGACAGAATAAATTTTCTACAAAATATTTTTCAAATTTCCCCTAATTAAAGAACTTTATTCTCTACAAATAATGATCACATTGAAGAAAGATTTTATTTTATTATTTTTAACTTATAATGAAACAATTTTTAAAACAATTTTTAGTTGAATTTTTTCTTAATTATTTCTTATTGTCTGAATGATATATTACTTTTAATTTTTGAAATTAACATTGATAATTACTATTATTACTAATCACTATTAATCACTAATATAAAAGACTGATATTGATACAAATCATTGAGATTGAATACATATACAATCATATCTCACTGCTGCTATCTAACAACCACAGAATGCATCTAACTGGAGAGCCTATTGGACACCTCCAGTTCTAGACATTTCCATTGCTAAAGGTTTCCAAAGTTTTAATCATATTTAAGCAGTATCACTTCTCTCAAGTCCAGTCCTGATACAACTATGTGTTCATTAATTTCAAAACAATCTACCAAAATGTCTTGTCAATTGTGTTAGTCATTAGTGATAGGTGGGTTAATCATAGTGGAAGTAAAGCATTAATGGTACTCAAATTGTTTACTTTTGTAATTATTGTCTCAATTGAGGTTATTGTCTTGTGGACACAGCAAATGGTTTAATGCTACTGCTGTGAACCTTTCTTGTATCATAAATAACTGGTTGATAAAGAAGTCAATGATGATGCAGAAAGATGAAATTGAAGAAAAAATGGAAATAACTGCAGCAGATGAAATGGTTAATCAAAGAAAAACAATTGAAGTTGAGGAAAAGCCCTCAACAATGAATTACAAGCAATTAAAATGAAGAAAAGTTTGAGAAAGTATGATTTTGACTGCTTAAAACTATAATATATACCTGCAGAAAATTACTAGAACAAAACTAAAACCTAACTTGCATTATTGTATACCTTGTGCTTATAAGAACAGCCAATCCTCCTTATATGTGAATTTGTAATTGTAGTTTAAAATTTATATGTAACTTGCTCCATCATTCAACCTATACCTATACATATACATATACTTAACACCTTATTCTTGCCGAGAAAGTCTTCCCTCTGCATGGAAGTTTATGGTTAAGAAGTTTAATAAGGGCTCTAACCAATCAAAATAGTAGTTTTATTGAATGTCTTAGTAATTTGCATTTACTAATACTTATATATTCATTGTTGCATTTTTATATATTTTTATTTTTGTTTTATGTTGGTTATTTAATATTTTATTTTAATTGTACCTTATTTATTTTGAATTTGAATTTTGTATTCCATTGATGGAATTTTAATTCAAATGTATTCTAAACCTGAAGATGGCCTGTGAATCAGGCTGAAAACGTTTGTTTGTTTCAAATAAATTATATTTCTCGGCAAGAATAAGGTGTTAAGTATATGTATATGTATAGTGATTTGCTGAGTACTTTATGATATTACAACCTATACCTCTTTCAAATTGTTTTTTAAACAGAGAATCTGGTGGTTATATGCATGGAAATATGGTATAAGGAACAGAAAGAACCAATATAACTTATTTGCAGTTTATAACAAACTTTGGATTTCATCAAAAAACTTGTGCTGTGGAAGAATAACATTGAAAACTGCAAATATGTAATAATTTATCTAACACTTTAATACTTCTTCCAGCAATTATTTTTTTAAAAAACATGTTTTTGGCCTCTTCATCAGCCCTCTTCAGGTATATGAGCAGAAAAAAGAATTTGAAAGAGTTTCCAAATGTTTTTAACTGCAAGTATAACTATTTTGAACCTTTTTGAGATTTTTATCATGGAAAGTAAGATGAAACCAATTGATAGTATACACTCCTTAATTTCTGCACATTTGAAATTTTGACTTTTACTTTCTTGAGTAGATGAAAAACTTAGCAAAAGAACTGGATTATAAATCTATTTTAGAATGACATGACAAAATGGAATTTTTCAGGCTTACAATAAAAAGAACCAAATTATTTGAACATTATTAATTTTTTATAGTAATAAAAGCATGACAAAACTAGTTATTCTAGGTAAAATTTGTGTTAAAATTTGTATCATTAATAAAATTGTTATTATTTCATTAAAGTGATTTTTTTCCATAGATAAAATTTACAAAATTAGCATTACTTATGAAATTATTTGCTTATTATATACCTAAATACACCTATTGTCCAGATGTTATATTTGTCAGTTAAGAATTAAAAATGTGTGTAGAATTCTTTGAGATTTTAAGTTTATCAGATTACTTTGTACTTTATTAAATTTATTTAAAATGATCAAGTTTTTAAAATAAATTTAATTATATTAATTTTATATGAGATTAAATTATATTTAATATATAATAATTTTTTAAATTATATGGTACAATCTTTATTCTTCATTTTTTATTTTTCAGTGATATTAATAATGATTATTGGCAAAAATGTGTTGTTGATGTAACTGATAAAAAATTTTTGGCATGGCATACTATTACTAAAGAAAATGGTGACATTTTACAAGGATCCGTCCAGTTGGGATCTGAATATGAAATTTTGTCTTATGATTATTGTGAAATTTCCAGTGATATCCCAACAGTGCCAAAAGAGTACAAATTGTCACAGATGTTTGGAATAAAAAAGAAGAGCTTTAAATTTACATATTGGTTCATTGATATCACAGAAGAGTAAGTAATTAATTTCTGTAAAAACTTAGTTTATAAATAAATATTATTATTTGCTGTTTTATAGCAGCACTTAAAGAACAATTTTTTTTTTTTTTGAAATTTTACAGAATGTCAATAGATATTATTATTATTAACTTAAGATATTAAGGCATACTCAAACTTCAATCTTTATGACACAGAATAAATACATGTTTAATTTTCAAGTATACAAGGTTGTTTCAAAAATGGGTTTGATTAATATAATATTGAAATAGCTCTATCTGAATTCAAGAAAAGCTTTAGAAATGAAGAAAAAATAATTTCTAATATGACTTACTTGAAAATACTAGAAACTTCCGGCAAAAAGTTTCATAGAATCCTTAATAAAAATTTTTCTTAATTGTGATGATTATTTAAAGAAACTGCTTATATTATCAAAGTCAATTCAGCTATCATCATTAAATCAAAAATGATAAACCAAATCTTGAAATATAGAATTTTTAAAATAAGTTTGTTTTCAAAAGCAGATTTTATGGCTAATGTTACCTATGGTTCCAAAATGGCGGCACTTTGGTTAGGTTCATTTCTTATTAATATTTGAAGACAAGTTCGCCCAAATAGGGATCACCATTTCATACTTTTGCATTATAGACAATACTTTTCCGGCGACCGACCTTCCTTTCTAGGCTACTAGCCGCCAAAAAGTTTAAAAAAGTCCTTTTAAAAAACACAAAGATTTCCAATTAAAAACACAAAGATTTTCTAAAATCAGAACTGCTGTTATACGAATGTCTTCCCTGTTATCATCTCTACCTTCTTGGGGGTTTTCTGCCTTTTATCCACAGAGATCGTATAACACCAGTTCTGATATTAGAAAATCTGTGTTTTTAATTGGAAATCTTTGTGTTTTTTAAAAGGACTTTTTTAAACTTTTTGGTGGCTAGTAACCTAGAAAGGAAGGTCGGTCACCGGAAAAGTATTGTCTATAACGCAAAAGTATGAAATGGTGATCCCTATTTGGGCGAACTTGTCTTCAAATAATAATAAAAAATAAAAAGAACCATCGGACGAAAAATTACGAATAGGTTCATTTCATTTCCGTTAGATTAGCTACATTTTTAGTAGATGTTTCCTTTATTTTTTTATTTTGTTCAAGAACTACCGTGAATCAATAACTAGTGACATTTGGCACTTGGTGGCCTGCCGGCAGCTCCCCTCCGAAAGGAGTCCGTCTGGACCACAAACAGTTGGAAGCACAGCCATTTTGGAACCATAGGTAACATTAACCGATTTTATAAAATCTATAGATTGTTTTCAAAAGCAATATATAGATTGATGTTATAATAATTAATATTATAAATTAATATATTTAAAAGCTGCAATTTTTAAAAATAAAAATTATTATTCCAGATTTTTAATTATTAATAATTATTCCAGATTTTTAAATTTATTAATAATGTAATTTTATTTGATATTAAAAAATATAAAATATGCATATAATCATTATAATAATTTAGATTTTCAGGAGATAATTGTTAAAACTAAAGAAAATCAAAGTTACTTTGTGACAAACTTTTGATCCATTTAATTAAAAACACTGATATTTGTTTCTGATATTTGTATTATGTATCTTAATTTTTGATAATTAATAATTTTAATAGTAATAGATTATGGCTCTGCAGTTGTAAATGAACAAGAGAATAACAAAACATACAAATAACAAATAATAAATGCTTGTTACTTATTACAATAAATCATAAACGGAACTGAGGTAATTTTTTAAATAAAAGTATTTTAATTTTATTTAAAATATTTCAGGAATGTTTTGCATTGAATGCATTTTATTTGGTATACTTTTGCTGGGAGCTCTAAGTATTTGTATTTTCAAATACAATAAGTATTTGTTACTTAAACCAGTATTTGAAATACCAAAAGATAGTTTAAATATCTTATCTTTTTAACTAACTGGAAAGATAGATGACAAAAAATCACACCTTTAAACTCCAGCAATGAGTTTAACAAAATAAGAACATTTTTGACCAGTTTCACTGACCTTCTTCAGTTACAATAAAACAAAAAATAGAAGAACAAGAATACAAAAATTTTAAAAACGAGAACAAGAATACAAAAATTTTAAAAACGAGAACAAGAATTCTAAAAATAAATAAATAACAGCAATTGTAGTTTTATTAATTTCAACTGTGATTGCCATTATTTATTTATTTTTAGAATTCTTGTTCTCATTTTTTTATATTTTTGTATTCACATTCTAATTTTCATTCTATTGTAACTGAAGGTCAGTGACACTGGTCAAAAACATTCTTATTTTATTAAACTCATTGCTGGAGTTTGAAGGTGTGACTTTTTTTTGTATTTTAAATATTATATTTTCAAAATACCAGTATATTTATTTTAAAAACGAGAACAAGAATTCTAAAAATAAATAAATAACAGCAATTGTAGTTTTATTAATTTCAACTGTGATTGCCATTATTTATTTATTTTTAGAATTCTTGTTCTCATTTTTTTATATTTTTGTATTCACATTCTAATTTTCATTCTATTGTAACTGAAGGTCAGTGACACTGGTCAAAAACATTCTTATTTTATTAAACTCATTGCTGGAGTTTGAAAGTGTGACTTTTTTTTGTATTTTAAATATTATATTTTCAAAATACCAGTATATTTATTTTATTCTAAACTTCATAAATGGAAGTAGTAATATAATTTATAGATTATATTTAATATTTTTTAAGTATTAAAATTATATCTCTCAACCACTTACCGTCAGCAATAACATAAACCACATATAACACCTTATTTTTCCAAGAAAAATGTTCAATAATCACAAACATTTTTGGCTTGTTCAACAATCCAACCTCAAGTGTTATATTACATTCTATCATCAGAATACAACCTTCCAATGGAATTTTGAATATAATAAATTTAAATATGAATAAAAGAACAAAACAATTTTAAAAAGATGAACAATAAACAAAATCAAATTAAATTAATAATAAAAAATGAAACATAAAATATAATTACAATAAATGTGTTAATGTATAATGAGGAACCAAAAATGAAACTAATATTGAGGAGTAATTTATTTTATTTTATGAAACTAATATTACTTTTTTCACTGAAGGGAAATCTATAAATGTTTTAGTTTTTTCCACAATGTATTTCCATGTTGATGGTAATTCTTCAGCAACCCTAGTATTCAGACACCTGTCCATTATCCTGCTTTTGTATACAGTCGACCCCCCTATAATTACGGTCCCTATAGTTACGATTCCTATAAAACTACGAAAAAATTGCTACCGGTATCCGTAAAAAATAGTAAAAGTTCCCTATAAACACCTCAAACGTCATCGGGAAGCCGAACTACTTTCCCGCCGTCCGTAGCGCCACGCTACGGAGAGATTTCTATCGTCTGGACAGTATTATATAAATTATATATAAATTAGGTACTGTACATATAATTATATATTAATTATATATAAATTAGGTACTGTATATATAATTATATATTAACTTATTGTAACTTTGTTATAATTAAATATATAATTTCCGCCGTCTAGCGTGGCGCCACGCTACGGAGATTTTTACGCTAACTATCGTCTGTCAGTATGTAAATTAGGTACCGTAAGTCTAATACAGTACTGTAATTTTATACATTTCTTGTGAAAGAAACATTTCTTATTCAACGGCGATTAAAATTATTTATATTAATGATGTCTCCGAAGTTCTACGAAGTTTTCACAGAAAAATAAGTTGTTAGAAATCGGCCGCTCTTTGCTGAGCTGTTCCGCGACGAAAACAATGTTGAGCAATGGCAATGTCGAATGGTGACACTCGGTAAGTAATCCTACAATTTTTTGTTTATAGCGTAGTTTATACGGATTATTCCCAAAAAATATATACGTATTTTGGAAATGTTGAGTCGGATTAGTCTAGAATCGATTAATTTTATGGAAGAAAATCTTTCAAACAGCCGTAGTCCGTAAACTTGATACGTGTCGGGTTGTGATTGGAAGGATTCGTAAGAAAGCGGATTCCTAGAGAATGGAACGTATCTCTATCTTATAGGGGAGTCGACTGTATTTCTAACTTTTCTGTACTCATTGCTAATGATGGTGAATACACTGGTTTTATCATGTTGGCCTCTTATTCTGTTATTAATGTCAGAACAATATAGAAAAACTCTTCTAATCACTGGTCAAAAAGTGGAAAGTTTATACGTATGCAGATCACTGGAATATGACATAATATGTAGTGGGTCTTGTATTGGTTTAATGTATAAACTTCTGTTCTTAAATGCGATATCAATATTCAAGAGATGTATGCATGTTGTATGTAGGCTATTTTTTTTTTCAAGCTTCAATGGTCCATGAAAAAAACAAGTGAAGAAACAAAATGAATTTATTACCAGAAGTTAGGTACAAACATGGTTACTTTTCGACATAATCATTGTGAAGATTGAGGCTTTTGTCTTTTCTGTGGATGAGCTTTTCCATCCCCTTGTCATAGAATGTTGCACCAATGACTTGAGATGGGCCCTAATGTTGTTTTGAAGATTGTCATTAGTCTCTGCCCTCCTAGCCACTTTTTCTATTCAGGAAAGAGGTGGAGTCGCTCAGTGTTAAATCAGGGCTATATGCTGGGAGTTTAAAGGTGGTGAAGACTTTCATCCAGCTTGGAACTTTTTAATGTGTGAAGATTTCCACCTTTTTCCTGAACTGAAAACGTATCTAGGAAGGCAGAGATTTGAGACTAATGATGATCTTCAAAACAATGTTGAAGGCCATCTCAATTCACTAGTGGCAACATTCTATGAAGAGGGGATGGAAAAGCTCGTCCACAGATATGACAAATTCCTCAATTATTGTGGTGATTATGTTGAAAACTAACCATGTTTGTACCTAACTTTTGATAATAAATTCATTTTGTTATTTACACTTGTCTTTGTTTTATGGATCATCGGAGCTTGAAAAAAAACCGCCCTCATACTTTCTTGCTCTAATTTGAGACTCAAACCATCATTGTTGGCATTAACTGTGTTCAAAAATTGTTGTATCCTTCTGTTACTTTTCCAAATTATAAAAACATCATCAACATATCTTTTGTATCAATGATATCATTCATGAAGGAAGTAAAGATATTTTTCTCTGACTTACGTAGTAATTCACGTAGTATGCCTGAAACCAGGCTCCCCATGGGGACTCCTTTTTTCTATCTGCAACTTGACTGTTGAAGCTAAAGAATGACTGGTAACAAATCAGATTTGTCAACTCCTTCAATTCATTTATATGGGCAACGATTAAAGAAAAACATTGTATTTAAAAAATTACAATTTTTTTTCTGTTACAATACAATCTCTTACATTCATCTTCTGCAGAAAATACTCATTTATGTTTGTAGAATTTATCCTTATTTGAACTAATCAAGCATATTAATTAAAATAATTCAAGCAAATTTAAATTAAATTTTAAATCTTAAATATTTTAACAATCCTTTAAAATTTTAAATTTAAGTTGTAAGTATTTACTGTGTTTAGTTTTGAAATAGTTCTGTCTACTGTCTGTATTTGTTTATTTATTTATTTAATTTTTATTTTTTAGACAAGAATGGATTACATTATTGCAGTCATATGTAAGTAGAAATTTCTTTTAAAAACTAATCTCTCTGATTTATTGCTGATATAGTTAATTCTTTGCTAAAAGCTATGTTAAATTTGAAATATCAAATTATGTGTGTAATTTTTAATCAATACCCACAAAATATTTGAATAACATTTTCTAAAAATTGAAAAAAGATGAAAATTCAATATTTGAAACTACACTTGAAACTATTTTTGTTTTTCAGTTCCAATGCCTAGTTCTTTTTGTAATTAAATGAAAAAGGAATCTCATTATACATAATAATAAATTACAAATAGTTACAGACTTTTGGACCCATTTATTTTTGACAGCTTGCTCTTTTATATATGATAATTTGATATATTTTACTGCTTTTGGTTCTCCAATTTGCACTTTATATTTTTCAGCTGACAAAAAAATTTTTAGTATGCAATGGCATTTCCTGCCAGTTTTAGTTTTGATTTTTGAGAAAATTAATTTTCATTGTCCATTTTTCATTTAATTTGCTTAATTTTAACATTTTAAATAATGTTTTCTACTTTATTAGCTATTTACTATAAAAAATGTAAATGTGTAATGTAATGTATTCTTGTTAAAGATGATATAAAGTTTTTTGATAATTTGACATATATTGATTTTAATAAATTAACTTTTCATTTCTTTCACTCATTCAATCTGTTAGGATCTTTGGTGTTTAGATCGCTAAACAATTTATTCTCATTCTGTCTAATTACAATGGAAATAAAGTTTTGTAGTTACAATTGTCTGGAACAGGACTCTGGTCATGTTCTACTCAACCGATTCCCAAACAAAGACATTGCTGAATCTTGTGCTTACACATAGGTGTAACTTGATTAGATCCCTATTCGTTAGCTTTTCACACGTGCAAAAACACCCAACACAAGACAATCATTGATAGTTTTAATAAGAGTTTATGCAGGTATTGCATCAAAAATAAAATGTTTGTTTCTTTTTTAATTTCTTAATTGCAATTAAACATTAAATTTATATCAATAAAGGAATGTAAATTATTTGAGAGAGTTATTTCTGAACACATCTTAATATTATTTTTGTAGGTAAAGGAAAACTTATCAAGATCATCATCTCCAGTATTAGATGATTGCACAGATAAATTGATTGATTCAAGTAAACAGATGAAAACAGATTCTCATATTAATGAAAATGAATGTATAGTGTATAAAAAGTGCCAATTCCCAATTATTGAACAGCCAAAAGCCCATATTGGAACATCTTCAAATGATGACCCTTCATTTAAAGCTCCAGCTCCTGTAGCTATAGCAATGGAAGTTGTTACTGATCATACTTGCTGTGAAATGTGTTTTGATTTGTTTTGCTATCCTTTTTTACTTATTCATTCTTGTACAAAAATACATGGTCCCAGTTACCACACATCCCATGTGCCAAATGATGATTGCTGTGGCAATTGTGACTGTTGTTGTTGTTGTGGTAGCTGTGAACCAGGTTGTTGTGACTGTGCTTGTTGTTCTGATTGTGATTGTGGTAGTTGTGATGCAGACTGTTGCTAGGGGGGTCATCAGAATCAAAACACAATTTTAAAAAATGATACATTTATGAAAATTTAAATTTGTTTTTATGTTACATATTGTGAAGTNGCTCTCTGAACAATTTGCTTTTACAGCTCTTACATGCTTGCAAATACAGTACAAAGTCCGAAATAAAATATTTCCATACAAAAGTTTAGATTAATAGACAGTGATATAGTAGCCTAGCATGTCAGTTCTGGAGAGCTTATTTTGTTTGTGTTCAAAATAAGTCATCTCTGATTGTTCATTGAGAAGTTACAGTGAATTTTGTTTCAGTTAAGATAGATAAATATTTTTATTTATATTTGAGTATTTGGAGAATTTTTAAAATAAAGTAAAATTCTATGATCAGAACAACTTAAAGTGCAATATTGAATGAAATTTAAACTCTTTTTTTTTCTAATCAAATTTTCAAAATATAATAAATGCATTTTACAATAAATTAAAAATATCAACAAAAATATCAACACTATTTGTTGTAAAATGTATTTGTGAAAATTATTATTATTATATAGAGAACACAATACTGAGTGCTGAATAATAATAATAATAATAATAATTATTATTCTTATTATTATTTTCGTCATCATCATCATCTATTGGGTTGAGTCATAAATAAGTTTGGTTTTTTAAACTGAAATTTATATGCCAATAAAATGTACAACAATAAACTTTAATTTAATACATATTCACAGTCATTATTGATGACTTCTTTCCATTTTTTGGGCAATCTGCCAATTCCCCTTACATAAAATTCCGGTAATTTTGAATCAAAAAACTCCTGGACAAACTCCTGAACCTGGTCATCATTTTGGAAGTGTTGACCTTGTAAAGCATTCTGCAGTGCCTGGAAAAGATGAAAATCTGTTGGTGTCAGGTCTAGTGAATATGGTGGATGAGGCAAAACAGACCAGCCAAACTCCAAAATTTTTTCTTGTGTAATCTTTGCTGTGTGCAGCCTTGCGTTGTCATGCAATAAGGTGATTTTTTTTTCTGTCAACAAGGGCAGGACACTTTTCTTGATGGTTTAGCCAAAAGTGCTCTAATTGTTGAATGTATACATTTACAGTAATAATTTCATTGCATGGCAACAACTCAAAATGGATAATTCCTTGATGATCCCACCATACACGTTACAAAATTTTTCTTCCATGCACACTAGGCTTGGGGTCTAGCTGAGACTGATCATCTTTGTCAACCCATTGTCTTTTTCAAATGACATTTTTGTATGTGATCCACTTTTCATCACTCATAACAATTTTAGCCAAAAAAAGGTTCCTCTTTATGCTAAGAAAACAAGGTAGCAGCTATCAACCTTCTGTCAGCCTTATTTCATTCACTGAAATTATCTGGAACCCAAACTTCCAGCTTGTTCACTTTTCCTAGTTTTTGGAGTGACAATTGATGGTTAATTGGGATGGGTGCAGATTCTCTGCTAACTCCCTTGTTGTTTGCCATGGGTTCTGCTCAATCAGGACCTTTAAAACGTCATCATCAAAGTCTGAGAAACGGCCTGGTCTTTCTTCATTTTTTAAGGAAAAATTACCAGAATGGCATGTTGTAAACCACTTTTGAACTGTCTGAAATTATTCCATTGCCATAGACATTGCAAATTTTTTTTGCCATTTCTGTAGCGTTGTTACTGAGTTTAAACTCCCGCACAACACGATATGGCATAAACATAAAATTTTTAGTGAAAAACAGAGCTTTAATATAATTAGATGTTTGAAAAATAAAATGTAGATAGGCATTGATTACATACATGCTGTCTGAATTTTTGAGATTTATTGCTAAAAAAAAAAGTTGTTTCTATCTGCTTGCTTATTTACAGGCATTAAAATTTTAATTTTGACTGGGTCTGTAATTTATTTCAAATAGAGAACATTTATGATTTCAGACACTATTGTATAGAAAAGGTAACTACGGAGTCCTTCCCATTGACACAAGAAAATTAAAATTTATTTGTTTGAACTTCAAAACATTTTTTTTTTTTAAATTTTATGATAGCAACTATGGTTTACTGAACCATCTGCAATGCAATTGTTATGCTTATGTTAATAAAAGGTACTTATTAATTATTTAAATATTTTTAATTTTTGAGTTAGCCTCCTTTAGTTCTTCTAGAACTTCTACTGCTATTGTAAACACATTATCATCTGAAATTATAAATATCTTGTTCAGGTATTTGTACTAATTTAGAGGTGTCTGAAAATGAATGAATCTTCAGAATCATTTCACACATAATCTCTGTTATATCAACTTATACCCTTGATTTAAGAGATATGCAATGTGATTAACAGATGGGATGAAAATTTCTATTAGTAAAGCAAATTGTCTTATTAATATTCAATTTTTCATGTATTCTATGTTATAGCATTATATTATTTTTATATGGTATATGAAATAGTTTTTACTATAAGTATTTACTTGAAATCTCTGTATTATACTCTGTGTATGTATAGTACAGTGCTACACATTTTTTTTTTTTTTTTGTTTTAAAATTGTTTTAAATAATGAAGTTTCTACTGTTATTAATTCAAAAAAGTGCAAAATATATCAATACGAATTTAGAATGTAAGTTATCAATTCAAAATCTATTAATAATTTTAATGATTGAATAATTTTGAAAAATCTGGGAAAACTGCTCTCTGAACAATTTGCTTTTACAGCTCTTACATGCTTGCAAATACAGTACAAAGTCCGAAATAAAATATTTCCATACAAAAGTTTAGATTAATAGACAGTGATATAGTAGCCTAGCATGTCAGTTCTGGAGAGCTTATTTTGTTTGTGTTCAAAATAAGTCATCTCTGATTGTTCATTGAGAAGTTACAGTGAATTTTGTTTCAGTTAAGATAGATAAATATTTTTATTTATATTTGAGTATTTGGAGAATTTTTAAAATAAAGTAAAATTCTATGATCAGAACAACTTAAAGTGCAATATTGAATGAAATTTAAACTCTTTTTTTTTCTAATCAAATTTTCAAAATATAATAAATGCATTTTACAATAAATTAAAAATATCAACAAAAATATCAACACTATTTGTTGTAAAATGTATTTGTGAAAATTATTATTATTATATAGAGAACACAATACTGAGTGCTGAATAATAATAATAATAATAATAATTATTATTCTTATTATTATTTTCGTCATCATCATCATCTATTGGGTTGAGTCATAAATAAGTTTGGTTTTTTAAACTGAAATTTATTTGCCAATAAAATGTACAACAATAAACTTTAATTTAATACATATTCACAGTCATTATTGATGACTTCTTTCCATTTTTTGGGCAATCTGCCAATTCCCCTTACATAAAATTCCAGTAATTTTGAATCAAAAAACTCCTGGACGAACTCCTGAACTTGGTCATCATTTTGGAAGCATTGCCCTTGTAAAGCATTCTGCAGTGCCTGGAAAAGATGAAAATCTGTTGGTGTCAGGTCTGGTGAATATGGTGGATGAGGCAAAACAGACCAGCCAAACTCCAAAATTTTTTCTTGTGTAATCTTTGCTGTGTGCAGCCTTGCGTTGTCATGCAATAAGGTGATTTTTTTTTCTGTCAACAAGGGCAGGACACTTTTCTTGATGGTTTAGCCAAAAGTGCTCTAATTGTTGAATGTATACATTTACAGTAATAATTTCATTGCATGGCAACAACTCAAAATGGATAATTCCTTGATGATCCCACCATACACGTTACAAAATTTTTCTTCCATGCACACTAGGCTTGGGGTCTAGCTGAGACTGATCATCTTTGTCAACCCATTGTCTTTTTCAAATGACATTTTTGTATGTGATCCACTTTTCATCACTCATAACAATTTTAGCCAAAAAAAGGTTCCTCTTTATGCTAAGAAAACAAGGTAGCAGCTATCAACCTTCTGTCAGCCTTATTTCATTCACTGAAATTATCTGGAACCCAAACTTCCAGCTTGTTCACTTTTCCTAGTTTTTGGAGTGACAATTGATGGTTAATTGGGATGGGTGCAGATTCTCTGCTAACTCCCTTGTTGTTTGCCATGGGTTCTGCTCAATCAGGACCTTTAAAACGTCATCATCAAAGTCTGAGAAACGGCCTGGTCTTTCTTCATTTTTTAAGGAAAAATTACCAGAATGGCATGTTGTAAACCACTTTTGAACTGTCTGAAATTATTCCATTGCCATAGACATTGCAAATCTTTTTTGCCATTTCTGTAGCGTTGTTACTGAGTTTAAACTCCCGCACAACACGATATGGCATTTGTGCATTTTCAAATGTTTAATTTTAAGTGAATTCAAAAACAATATTTTATTACATTATTGACACTTTAGTGTTAAAATTTACATTTAGAGACTTTTTGCTAATAGACTCTAATAAAACTCAGTTGAAGGAACACATCATCATGCAAGTATTTGACAGTCATTTACACCTATCTGTAAACTAACTTATTTATGACTCAACCCAATATATATGCTATTTTAAACTAAACTGTTACTGTGAACCATGTTTGCAATAATAGTGTACTAAATATCCAACAGAAATATGATAATCTAAAGTAATTTAATTTTAAATGTTTAATAATTGAATGAATAATACATTAAGATGTGTTATACCTATTAATTAATTAATATAATTTAATTATCAAATGCATTTTAATTAAAATTAGAACAAAGAATAATATACTAGAACATATTGAGAAGTTTGGGTTTATTTAAGATTTTGGAACTAAACTAATTGGATAGTTTCGTCTCAACAAAAATGTTAATTTTAAATAAGCTTGGACTTCTTCATGAATTAAAATAAATGTAATCCAAAATTCTGTAAGTTTAGATTTATAATTGGTTGAATAATTGTTTATATAAGTATTATTTATATTTTATAATATTATTATTTAATTATAATTGCTTGATTGAGACTAACAGGGCTTTATTCATATTGAATATTCACAAAAACAAAAACATCATACTTTATTTTTTTGAATTTAACAGATTTCTTCAAAACAAATCTAATGTTTTTAGATGTTTTTAGCTTAAATATATAAGGTGGATATTAATATT